TATGTCTGTTTGAATATACAGGAAGAATAATTTAAAAATTGAAAAATTTGGATAATTTTTTTGCATTAGTGTTTTATAAAAAATAACATTTGAAAAATAAGATAAATTCCTATATATAATCAATTAGGGTAAAAAAACCATACAGTTGTTTTTCAAAAAAATATACAGTTTAACTTTTTTTTTAAACTGTGTTTTCTTTATTTAATCGATTCACTTTATTATTCTCTGCATAAAAGTATTATAGTAGATATAATTATCAAGATATCAAGAAATCAATAGTTTACGAAATATTTCATATTTTATGTCGAAATATGGCATGAAAGTAATAAAATATGAAACATCTTGTAAATTATTTGATTTCTCAATAATTTTACAAATGCTTTTGTATATGTAAAATAGAAGAATCATATTATGTAAAAAAAATTATATAATTCTATTATATATTTTTATATTATAAAAATTATATAATTCTTTAAAAAAGTAGAAGTGATCTTCATATCTTCTTAGCGCTCTATCTAGAAAAAAAGCAACTTAACTAAAATACTCCTTTAAAACCTTGCAACTTTTATTTGAAACTTTTTTTTTTTTAAATAAAATATAAAAAAGTTTTTGGGGATAGTAAATTCAAATAGATTATCCTGTATATAGGTAATTTTTTCTTATTTTTTCAAATTTTATTTTTTATAAAACACCAATGCAAAGAATTATCTTCCCAATTTTTCAATTATTTAAATTATTCTTCCTGATGTATATTCAAATAGACATATTTGTATAAGAGAAAGAAATTATATATCGACATATACTATATAGTGTATATATATTTTTTATATACACTACGCAAAAAAAATAAAAAAGATTTATCTATTCTGTCCTCCAAAGGCAAATTTCAAAAGAGTGTAATTTTGTAAAAAATAATCCAAGATGTTAAATACCAGGATGTTGAAAAAAGTATTTTACTGCTTAAATTCTCTATATTTTAAATCGACACTTTAGAAAACAATTTTATTGAGTTTTCATTGAATTACACAGATACAAATAGAAATGAGTAAAGAAAGTTTCTTTTTGCTTCAATGTTGAATAACACAGTAAAAAAGACCATACAACGCAAAAAAGCAAACTAAAGGTAAAAATTCACTCTTTTGAATGCTATAAACTGCGTTTGTGTGAAATTTTTAGTTCACGCCATGGAATCTTGTAAAATTAGTAACAAAATTTTAAATTTAACGCATCTCTATTGGTATCAATAAAAAGTAAAATTGTTTTCTAAAGTGATAATCTGAAAAGTAGAAACTTCAAACCGTAAAATGCTTTCTTAAAAATCTCAGTACGATTATTTTTGATGAAGTTACACTTTATCGAAATGCCTATTTTTGTAGGACAAAATAGATAATCTTTTAATTTTTGTGCCAAGTGTATAAGTACATATGTTTGATTATATAGACCTTTTACTGGGATAATAGTAATAACAATATACTAACAATATAATAATAGTATAACTGATAGTAGCAGTAATAACTATTATTATCATCAATACAAGAGAAAAAAATTACTTATTAAATCGCCAAGGACATTGCGGGGCAAATTATGAAGAATCACAGTATCTAGCAATCTTTGGCTGCCATGGAAGAGAATTTCTTGATTTAAATGATCTAAAGAAATATTGAGAACACATATATTCATAGACTATTTAGACTATTTAGAGAAAAATATCTATACTTTATCAGCTTATTTTTTTCTACCATTTTAAGAATTAACATTTTAACAATTTAACCTTCTTATTCAATTTTTTTGTTTTTAACTAACCCGAAAGAGTGTTAAATATAATATTCTCTTTGAAGAAACTGTCATGGTAACGATACTTGTAATAGAAAATTAGCTTGTTTTGCAAATATAGCGGAAGCTTCTTCTGACGAACGTATTCTTTTACTTCATGCATGATTCGTTGATATTTAAGTTTTGGCTTTGCCGATGATTCCAAGAGTTGCAGGACCGTAACTGTGAGCACAAGAGCTCTTTTATCATCGAGACAATTCTTATTTCATTTATATTTGTATACATAAGGACTAAGAGATAATGTTATTTTAATAAAAATTTACTACAGAATGCAATATTAGAAATGTAATATATTTATATAGTGAGAAACGTTTAATACCAATCAAATAAATTATGTAGCCTTTTCCCAAGAGAAGAAGTATGCATCTTATTATTGTGTCCAAATTACCAAAGCTTTCGAATTCCACGAAATTAGAGCCGATCAAATTACTCACGCCAATATGCAGAAACACTAAATATACTTCCCAATCGGACCTATCATAAACTTTTGTCGAAATATAATATGCATCTGAACTCTGAAATAATTCCACTGCATAAATAGAAGAGTACTGCATTATTACTTTTTATTTATATAATTTTTCTATATAAAGCAATTTAGAGATGTTTTTGAGATCAATTCAATTATAGAAATCATCGTACTTCCATCGTTTTTTCTTGCATATGCATGACGATGTATGGAAAGACATAACTTATACAGCTACTCCAGTGAACAATTAATAATGTTAAAATAATAAGCCATATTGTTATATGTTGAGCTTGAGGAATCCCAAAATTCTATTCAAAAGTTATTTAAATTAACTATATTTATAAAATTCAAGCCATCAATATTTATATGATTATAAGTTACTGTATTGATCTGTTGAACATTTCTTCGTACTGTAGGTATGCGAGTCAATTTCAAAATAAGCAAGAATTCGAGAATAAGTAACGGAGAATTCGAGTTTGGCCCAGGTGGTAAGATAAGTGTTGGGTAAAACCATGTGTACGGTACCGAACTGATAAAGTCAACGAAGAAATATCTTTTCAAGTATTGTCTGTTTAAATATGTACAGTTTTTACTTTGTATATTTAGAGGAGAAAAAAAATTAATATATTTAGAAAGAAAAACAAATGATAATTAATTTAATCTGTATGTTATCGTGGCGCAATCACCGTGCTACTAAAGTAGTATCAAGAAAAATCTCATGTCCGTCCGGAGATATAAATCCAGTAATAAAGTTCAGGAATATGTCGATGATACAAACAATGTAAGTTGGATACACGATATTCCAACGTTCAGGACCGCTGCTCTTTCCAATTCTGTAGAAGCACATAATATGCGGCACCGTTACGAAAATATATAGATAGATGATGGTCATTATCGTGTCCCAGTAGAACCTACAATAACGTTTTTTTTTTTTTTTGTTATATTTGTGTTCACAAGAAATAGTCAAAGCTGTTTCTTTAAATTTCATACCTTAACATACTACATGGATGAATCATCCATCGATGAGGTGATCTTGAGTGCCTTCTCTTTTCGAAAGCAACAGCTGCTTGGCTGCGCAAAATTAAATGCGTTAAAGGGTGCCGTGCGGAAACAAGAACAAGTTTTTGAAGGTTTCGCTTCCAACGATTATAAAATCTCGCGTTGGGAGGTAATTTCGGCAGATTGCTGCCGGATTGCCTCGGCAAGTCGCATATGTGTGCACGTAAACTCGCTCGCTTTATCAAGAAGTTCGAGTCTCGAATTGTCATATTGCGTTGACGCTGGTTGACACCAATTGATGCATGTCAATGATACTAAGCAGAATATGACAATCGCTTATAGATATACTCAGGTTTTAGGGTAAAAATTGCTATAGAAACCTAACAAATATTTTTGAACTCAATTAAGTAGTCTAAATATATTTCAAGAAAAAACATTATCTTTGTGTAAAATTACCAATATGGAGAAAAAGACAACGCCATCCAAGGACAAATCAATGCTACCATTTTATGTCCCTTTTGAAGTAAAACAACTTAATTTGTTTAAAGTATTTTTCAATCCAATGTCTTATTTTCAAGTTATTCGCCTGGGGCGATTAAAACGAAACACCCTGTATATATGTAAATTTATTTATGAATAAATTTTTATATAAGTCCTTTTTTAACAGTCTTGTAATACAGCTCAGTATACAGATTATCTGGCGGATCATCCTGAGATAAAGCAGTTAATCGCGGATTACGTCCAGACTCTTCTAGTCGGTAATTAATTCACTTATTGAATAAACTTTGTGCTCAATCTACTTCGATAAATAGTATTAATTTTTCACTGTCAATTTTTCATTAGTAAAGCCTATCAATGTCATCGACTTCACGATACAGCACTTCAAAACGTTTGCTCGAGAATCGAAGGTCTGGGATACCACCGATATATGTATTGACAAAGCAATCTGATATTAACACGAATCGGCATATCTAGAGATTACACAACTGACGGAATCTGTACAAAATGCAAAATTTACAACAAAAAATTGTTTATGTGTATATATATTATGTATACATATACATATAAAGGAAATTCCTAAAAGAAACATAAACTTTGCTCTACTGACATACTCAAATAGTTCATGAACTAATATAATTATGTATATTTTTTATTAACATATACTTCATTTTTTACAAACATTCTTACATTACCTCAAACTGTTCAATAAAAAAATATAAATGTGTGTAATTCATAAATAAAATGTACAATGTCATTATCTTTATCAAACGATGAGATTTCAAAGGCTCAATTAATTTATAAAAATCTTTTTCGTTGTTTTATATTCAATTATGTATATCAAATTATGACATCAGAAGCGAAAAATCATGGTTTTTTTTGCATTATATCAAAATAAGTTAAATTTTTTGTGTTATTACATGCACTTTCATACAATTACTTCTAATTAAAACTTATCAGTTTTATAAGTAATCTTAACCTATTTATTATATAAAAATTTATTTATATATTAATGCAATATAATCTTGGCTACACACCAAGATACTTGGTTGAAATATGATACTAGTCCATTTAAAGCTTTAATTTGGATATTGCATATGTTGCATATTGAAGTGTAACTTTACCTTTATTATTTTCTGCCAGGCGTCATCTCTTTTTGCGAATTGCATATCACACAATTTTCCTAAAAAATGAAGAGCACTTACACTAGTCCATCAATAATAAAATGAAATAAAGCAGCAGACAAATATACGTACAACCAAATCAAAATTGGGTAGACAATCTTCGTGAAAACAATGCTTACAATAAAATACAACCATATTCCGCGGTTCTGAAGAAAAAAGGGATGAATTATAATCATATAATTAGAATTATAACTAATTAAAACTAATTACTTATAAATACCTCTTACAATTATCTTCCTATGGCAAGCTCCACACATTTGATCATCTGCAATGAAAAAATTTAATAATCTTGTGTTAAGTTATAAAGAGTAGCTTACTAATTCATTATATTTGTTGCGTATTGAATACAAAATCTTTAAATGTTTAATATAACAAATACATTTAACCACAATATTACTTTGAAATTTTCTTGTTTAAAGCAGTTTTATAATTTTTGTTTTTTGAGATAAATGATTTTATAAAGCTGCATACCATCAACAAATATGCCCTTTTGGTGACAACGAACAAGTCGCTCGTGAAGATTAAAATAATCATTAGACAGTATTTTTTTGCAACCCTCCTGCACAGACACCTGCAGATTGTAGTCGCACATCATTTTAACTAATGCTTTTTTTAAGCCTGGAATTTCCAAAGTGGGTTCTATCCTTTGCACCATAAGTCTAGGGTCAACATAAGTGCCGATTTTTTGAAGAAGGAATGTAATAGCCGCTGAAACATGTAAAAATTATTTTTAATAAAATTTTAAATTCAAGCCTCTTTAAAAATGCTCTTTAAAAACATGATTTGCTTCATACATGGTTTATCAAGTGAATAATTAACTAAATCGTTCCACAACTCTTCATCGTCGTGTTCCTGACAAAATGCAATTGCACTTTCCATATCGTTCAATTCTCTCGTCATAAGCGCCAAGGCTTCTGAAGTGTTTCCAATTCTGCCTAGTAGATATACCATTTCTGGATAAAATCGACGTTGGCTACAAATATCCAGAGCCTGTTGTATCGGATAATTATCAGAGCGACGTAAAAGCGGTAGTAACTTGTCTATGGAATAATCGGCATACAATCGTACCAGAAGGCCATGGTACTTGCCCTTCGAATCCTTTGTGTCTCTCTTATCTAATGCATCTAGATACTAAAAAGGAACAAAAATCGTTATTTAAAACTGAAAGTAAACATTTTTATACATTTAAGAACAAAATTTAAAAAATTCACGAGTGTTGTATATGTAGTTGAATTACAATATATTAAACGCATCTCGTAAATGTACGCAATTTCTCACGTGAAAATTTAAGCATTATATCGATTCATTACCAAGTATAAATAACGATGATTATGTTGCAACTTTTGTACAACGACGTCAGACGGCACTCTGTCTTTCTCCAGAAAAAATTGTATGGCACGTTCTGTATCTAAATCCATCAAACCTTCGATCATGTCGTATACTGAATTATATAACTGATACTTTTGAATCAATTGGAAGACGTCTTTGTGCCGCAGCTTCAAGTACATAGCGAGTGCTTTATCGTATTTGCCGTCGTGGATATATAAAATGGCTAACGCTTCTAATAATACGTTCTGTCGTTGATTGTGAACTAGTAAATGCTCTAATACGCCGTTAACTACCGCTGCCACTGTGTATAAATTCGGAGACCATTCCTTGACCAATTGTAAAAAACCGTCGGGATCCATTTTTAGATATTCATACAGCACCATTTCATAGATTAATGGATCGAGGATAACGTCACCTCGAGGTAAGTAGGACGAGATTGAACGTAGCTGATGCACTCTGGCAAACTTGTAAACCTGTCTCGGCAAGAAAGAATGATACCAGTAAAAATGTTTATGAACACGAACTTAAATGTAATTGTAAATAGTTGTTACTCGCAAAATGGATACTGCATTTTACAACAATAATGATGTCTCTCACCTCTTCCTCCCATAATTTTTTATTCCGTCCTAAAACTTTGAGGCAAAGTTTTCCAGCTTCATCGTATTTTTCACACACTAACAAGTGATCTAAATAAATACGCCCTACGTCTAATACAGTGTGCCTCTTGCAATCCTTGCCATTGTTTGTTGTTACAGCTTCCAAAGCTTGCTCGAACTTACCATGGCTCAATAGCCATTCAATTCTGTCATCTGTATCATACAAACTGGCTACTACAATATCCTTTGGACTTACAATAAAAAATCTGTAAATAATTTTTCTACATAAGAAACAGATAGTATTAAAGAAATCTTGGAAATTTTTTAATATAAAAAATAATTAAGTTAAAAAAATATATTCCAAAATTTCTAAAAATAAGAATAAAATATATTTGCATTTAGAGCTATTTTTATTTCACATTTTGAATATCAAACAAATTTATTTATAATTTGTTACATATTAATGTTCTATAGAAAAATAATTATATTCGTTAAAATTGTTAGCTTATTTAGAATTATTTTAAACTTTCTTTTCTAAAATAAATTAAACAAAAACTTGTGATTAAAAATAAATCCTATGATTCCAGTACATGTTTAAATTGATTTTAATATCTTATTAAAATATAGATTCTCGAGACGAGTTACTATTGTTATCTAACTCGTTTTTTACAGTTTTTAATTTTTCAATCCTCATATATAAAATCGAGAAATGTATTAGAAGTCAGGAATCAAACCCAAAGACTACGAGTTTAACCATTCTCAGATGAAGCCACACATTATTTTAAATTGATTTTAATACATTAATTTTATTAAATTAATTTTATTACCAACCTGTTTTCTTCCTTTAAACAATCCAAATGATAATCATTGCAGCTGTATTCCTTGTAACCACGTAAAGTAAGTGAATTTGCACATACTACTGAGAAATCCTGATATTTTGGTTCAACTACATGTAAAGTCGGACGTTGATTCTTTCCATCTTCATCCGGCTCTTTTAGACATCCCAATAATATTAATTGATTCTTCAATGGTGCTATACCGGATATATAAAAATCTACTTGAAATGTTGACACTGAAAAATGAAACATAATAATATAATTATTTTGTATAATAATTCTGAATATTCTAAGCATTTACTTTATAGAGTTGTTATAATCCAAATTGAATCATAAGAATTAACTCTAAAAATAAATTTAGATATAGGTGAATAAAAAAGTATTACTTGAATAATTGCCGCGAATGCAAACAAACTCAAATTTATGTCAACGAATATATTCTATTTCTTTTCGACATATCAAAGGAAAACCATTCACGATATACATTATATTCATCATAAGTGTTTTGTTTATAATTATTCGTTCTTGCTACATATATTGGTCTCGATTCATCCTAATATTTCCATATTGAAAAATATTCAAGAAAAATAAGTATATTTTACTGATTACCTGGATCCACCACAAATTCAGGTAAATCTCGATTAACCATTTCTTGCATAGTACGTTTTCTAATGTGACAGATACGCACAATGTCTACCCATCCAATCAATAGTGTCTTGTCGTCCGACCACTGCAAATTGCACCGGTAATGTTCTGGTGATGTCCTGCATAAAATAATATATAAAGTCACATATGAAATACATATAAAATGTTAAAAAATTTTCAATTTAAAGTGAATTAACTTTGAGTAATTTATAACAATTATTTTAAGAAAGTGATAAGCAATTCCTATAAAGTTTCGTTCCATTCACAGTGCTCTTATTGTTAGTATTAAAACTTATTTAAGCTTGCAATATGTACAATATTGTACATGCAATTTTCAATGCGCTTACTCTGCAGTTCGGGACCACTTGATGAGTCCCAATGAACATCTAGCATCGAGATCATAGACTCTCACGCCAGTGTCAGAAGCCCACGCGACAAAATGACCAGACCATGCAACTGATCTGACTCCACCCTCTGCTTCACAAAGCACTGTTGGCTTCATCCTGGCCAAAAAAGTCTTCTCGTAAAGTACTAGCTTGTCATCACCTATTTGCAAACAATTATTAATTAAAGCTAAAATCAACACTTCAAAAATTAATTTTGTAAGCTCTAATAAAAGATAATATTATATATGCTTAAAATTAAGATACTAACCTGTAATAAATCTTCTGCCATTGCCACTCTTATAATTTGGGTCAATCGCTATACTCTTGACTAGCCTGCCCATGCTCATATTATGATTGTTTTCTGTACTGTATAGTCCATAAATGATAACCTTTCCATCATCACTACAAGAGGCAATAAAGTCTCCATTATAGTCTATAGATATCTGATTGACTGCTACTGTGTGTGCCTGTAGCATTTTAGATTTTATATTGTTTCCCTGATGGTCTAGAAGGTGGATCATTCCCCAATGGGATCCCAGACAAAGAAACTAGAAAAAATAAATTAAATTTATAAAGAGAAAAAATTTTATATTCCTACTTTCATTTATATGAAGTTAAAACAATTTAATTAATTTTAAAATAAAAATTTTACCATTATTTGTATAATAATTTATTAATAATATTAAATTATTTATTAATAATAAATAATTTAGATCATTCTTACCTTTGGATGTACAGCAATGCAGCTAGCTGCATCATTCTGCAGAATGTGTTCCAAATCATTTCGTATCCTGACATACTTTAATCTAGGTTCTATCTCATCCATTTCTGAAGAATCCGAATCTTCTTGATTATTTTGTTCATCCTATAATTGTACATTCCATTAAAGAGAGAAACTATCAATTATTCTACAATTATCAGTCTACTTATACTTTAATTATTATTTATGATAGAAAAAAAGGTGAGTAATATAATTTTAAAATTCTAAGAAATTATTGAAAAGTAAAAAAATAATTTTAGCAATGAATAATAAAGAAATTCGCCACTTGAGGTAATTTTAAAAAAGATTACATATATATGTATATATATGTACATATATATATATATATATATTGTATTACACTACAT